CTAGATAACTAAGACACAGTACACTACACTGTGTCAAATATTCATAGAGGTTAGGGAGACAGCACCATGGAAAGACAGTCAAGGGATCTCAGGATCAGGGAAGGCCTTCCATGGAAAAGGAGAATTTATCTGAGACCTGAGGGTTATTAAGGGTTCAGTAATTGGGTCTGGGGGAGAAAGGAGAAGAGAAATTCAGGTAAAAGGAGCAGAGGCCACAAACCAAAGTAGTATCCACCACATGTGAAAATGAGTGAGGGTCAGCATGAATACTGAATAGGACATTGATGTGATATGAGGCTGTCAAGGAGATTCACCATAGAGAATGGAATTACAGGAAAGAATGAGGGAAGTGAGGATTTTATCCTGTGGTCACACAGGCATCAGCAGAAATGCAATCACTGGTGTCCATTGAAGGGCGCTTAGGCCTGGAATATCTTAATGACCAAGGGATGGAGAAAAGATGTTACATTTCCAGAGCGGGGATGGATCAGACAGGTGTGAAGTGGGTGAAAGGGAGGCCCAGCAGAGGATAATCTTCCTAATATACTCAGAGAGAGATGGAGATCTACAATATGGCAGTGGAAACAAAGACAAAGAGTGCCTTAGTCAGAGTTTTCTAGAGAAACAGAACCAAGGATAGACAGACAGACAGACAGATAGATAGATACAGAGACAGAGAGAAACACAGAAAGAGAGGGATTTACATGAAGGAACTGGCTCACACAATTGTGGGTCTGGCAGGTCCAAAATCCTTAGGTCAGACTGCACACCAGAGATTTCTGCAAGCTTACATCCCAGGATTTATTGATCAGGCGACAAGAGGAATGCAGGGTCAAAAGAGAGAGTTCAAGCTCTTCCAGAATATCCATTTACATTCTGAAGGCAGACCACACCCTCAAGGAAATTCCCCCTTTCAAATGATTAATTGACCACATTAGATCAAATCATGGAAGGAAGTGATTACATCACATCACATCACATCACATCACATCACATCACATCACATCACAAATTACGTTTCATTATGGAACAGCAACCAGTCAAGTATCTGGCCAAACCACTGAGAATCATAGCCAAGCTGACACATAAAATTAACTATCACAGACATCATATACAAAACAATTGACTCACCCTGTCTCACAACTTACACAAAAACTGACCAAAAATTGATCACTAACATAAATGCAAAACATAAAAGGATAAAACTTTTAGGAAAAAAAGGAGGAGAAAATCATTTGGTTGTAGGGCTAGGCAAAGAGGTCTTAGACCTCACACCAAAGCATACTCCATAAAAGGAAAAATTGATAAATTAGACTTCATCACAATAAAACTTTTGTTCTGTGATTGACCCTGTTAAGAAGATGAAAAGGCAAACAACAAACAGGGAGAAATTATTTGCAAACTACATAGCAAACAAAAGACTACTATCTAGAATGGTGGCAAGGATGCAAAGAAGCTGGATTGCTCATACATCGCTGGTGGCAATGTAAAGTGGCAGAGCTGCTGTGGAAAACAGTTTGGTAGCTTAAAAACGCGTTGCTGTTGAGTGAATTCCGACTCATAGTGACCCTGTAGAACAGAATAGAACTTCCCCATAGGGTTTTCAAGGAGCGGCTGGTGGATTTGAACTGCCAACCTTTTGGTTAGCAGCCAAACTCTTTAACCACTTCACCATCAGGGCTCCAAACTCTTGCTTAGTAAGTATTAAAACCCCCAAATGGCTGAAGGAGGCAAATGTTCTGTTTTCAAAGGCCATTGGTGGAATGAGACAAACATTTTCTAATATTTCATAGATCTCTCAATCTCCTAAAAGGACAGAATCATTGTTTCTGGAGTGCTATCTTGACTCCTTCCCAAGTTGCAGAGCTATGGTCAGACAGAGCCAGCTGACAGACTTCTCCATGATGATCCAGGAAGGCTGGGGGTTAATCAAACCCTTCTGATCACCAAAGTTCTCTATCCAATGTATAGAATAAAGGACACCCACATGAGGGAGACACATTGAGACTGGGAAGAGCAGCTTGTATTTTCTTTCCTGACTCAGCTGGGTCTCTTAGAAGAAAAATTATCAGGAAGGATTCTGTCAGGATGGCCACATCAGGATGGAGGCTGCGTTTCTGTGTTGTGTCTAGTCTTTGAGGAGGAAGGACTTCTGTATGCCTTCAGCCTCCAGGGGCAGGACTTTGGCCCACGTGTGAGGCTGGCCCACCATCTCTTGGAGGTCTCAACTGAGGAGACCAGGCTACTGTAAAATCTCTTTGACCTTGTCACCCACACACAGGTGTTTGTCCAGTGTAACCTCCAGGGACACTGCAGAGAACCTGCTAAGACAGAGACACAGGGTCAGAGAGGCTGCTCAAGCTTTGGAGGGGAGGGGCAGGGAGCACACAGCATACTGTCTGTGGCCCCAAGGGTGCCAGAGAGCACTGGGGAGAGATACTATAAGGCAGCTGGGAGTCAAGGAACTCAACACTGCGGGGCTCTGGAAGTCAGTCCTGCACATGAGGTCAGCAGCAGCAGCAGCTGGGTGATTGCAGTTACACAACAAAGCCAAAGCAAAAGGAGGCTCCCTCACTTCTTTCAGGCCTTTCCCTGGTGGTGCCCACCCAGCTGGACTCAGGGCACTGCTGGGAGATGGAGACTGCTTGGTGGAGTCTGAGTTGCCCTGAACACCTAAGCGCAGGCTGGCAGACCTGGTTCCTTCTCTCTCTAGAGCCTGAGTAATGCTCTCCGTGGAGGGTCAGGGGTGCTGTCCCTGGGATCAGAGCCAACCTGAACAGCTCTATAGGATTTTTACTTTGAAGAGGAGCCCCTTTTACAGAATACCTCATCTGTTTGCACCCTGTGGTCCTGAATTATCAGGCACAGTTCTACTCAGCTCCTTGAGCCCTCTTGCATCTTGAGCAGAGGAATCACAACATTTGTTTTCTATTTTTTGAAGTCTAGTAGTTAAAAAAAATTCATCTGGTGGCTATAAACCTGAACGGATGATAGCTGGAATGATGCAGTATCACCAGGTTTATTAAGGATGTGATTTTAATTTATTAATTGCTGTTAGTTTTCCAATTACTGACATGAAGGTAGGAATTGGGAACATGCTGCCTCCTGTTCAAAAAGGGAAGGACCATTCAGGTCTGACTGTAATTCCAGAAAATCACAACTGAGATGCCAATCGCAACACAACCAGACAGTTGTCAGAGCAAAGCCACTTGGCAATTCTGTCCTGATAAGTTAGAATGAGTTTTCACGGAAGTCTAGAGACTAGGCTCTGTATCTGAGTGATCAGCATGCAGGTGGTGGAAATGGTAGAAATGGAAGGGAAAGAGGCAATCTAAGGAAGATGTCTCTTTGTCTTCCCTAGGAGTTCTCAATTTGCACATCTAAGAATAGCCTTTTATTTGCAAATCTGCCCTATCTGCAATATAACATAGTACATATGTCCAATACCCAGATGAAAATTTAATTTTGTCAAGATAGTTAAACTGGAAATAAAGTGTTCTATTTATCAATGTAAAACGCATATTTAAAGTCATGAATGTTCTTTGAGATAACACAGAGATTATATATGCTTTGAAACTCTTTGCTAAGTATAAAGAGCATAGGATTTAGAAGAGAGATCCATCAATCCTGATATTTATGGAACAACGGAAGCATAGGGTCCTGTATAAAGGATTCAAGACTGACCAGAGGAGTCATAAGAAAATCAAATAAAAGTTGTAGGGCATCAACTAAGGATGAAATGAGTTTTATGTTTTGCTTTTAGTTTTTTTTTTAATAATTCAATGGTTTTTAGTAACTTTAACAAGATGTGCAACCATCACCATAAATCAGTTGTAGAACATTTTCACCCCCCAATAAGATTTTGATTCCTCATGCACATTTACAGCTAATCCCCATTTCTACCCCCATCCTCAAGCAACTACTAATCTACTTTCTGTCTCTATTACTATGCCTTTTCTGGACATTTCATATAAATTGAATTATATCATATATGACCTTGTGTCACTGGCTTCTTCTACTTAACCTAGTGTCTTTGAGGTTCATCCATGATGTGGCATGTGCCAGCAGTTTTACTCCCTTTTGGGGTGAGTAGTGTTCCATTTATGGATACACCACATTCTGTCTATTCATTCACCAGTTGATGGATATTTAGATTGTTTCCAGTTTGGGGCTATTATGAATGATGCTGCTATAAACATTTGCATACAATTCCTTGTGTAGACATACATTTTCACTTCTCTTGAGTAGACACCTAGTAAGAGAATTGCTGGGTCACATGGTAGTTTTAAGTTTAACTTTTTGAGAAACTGCCAAACTATTTTCTAAAGTGACTACATCACTTTACATTCCCACCTGCAATGTATGAGGGTCCTCATTTCTTCACATACTCACCAACATTTGTTATTGTCTTATTTATTATAGCCATTCCAGTGTATGAAACGGTATCTCATTGTGGTTTTTATTTGCATTTCCCTAATGACTAATGATGTTGAGCATCTTTTCAAAGTCTGATTAATCATTCTTATATCTTCTTTGGTGAAATATCTCTTCTTATCTTTTGCCCATTTTTATCAGTTTTTTTTTTTTTTTTTGGTCTTATTATTGAGTAGTAACAGATATAAGTCCTTTATCAGGTATCTATTTTGCAAGTATCTTCTCTCAGTCTATCTGTCTTTGTGGTATCTTTCAAAGTGCCAAATGTTTGAATTTTGATGAGGTCCAATTTAGCAATTTTTTTTGTTTTTTATGGACATGTTTTTGGCGTAGTATCTATGAGAAAGTTGACTAACCTAGTGCCTTGAAGATTTTCTTCTGCAGGTGCTGTTTTTTTAGCTCTTATATTTACGTATGTGATCCATTTTGAGTTAGTTTTTGTTTATGGTGCAAGGTGAGGGGCTAAGTTCGTCTTTTTGCATGTGGGTATCACCACTTGTTGACCAGACTGTCCTTTCACCCAATGAACTGCCTTGCTACCTTTGTCAAAAATCTTGATAACTGCTGTGCTCGCTTTGGCAGCACATATACTAAAATTGGACGATACCGAAGAGATAAGCATGGCCCCTGTGCAAGAATGACTCGCAAATTCGTGAAGCATTCCATATTTTTCAAGGTTGAGAAGGGATAGCGTTGACATGGTATGGGGTTGTTAACCATTGTCATGAAGTAATTTGTGTACCGACTGTTTAATAAGAAACTATTTGTTCTGTAAAGCTTCATCTAAAGTACAATAAAAAAAATAATAATAAATTTTTAAAAAATGATGCTTACTGACACTAGGCTAGACTTGACTGGCTAAAATACTAAAAAAAAAAATCTTGATAACTGCAGCTTTGTAGCAAGTTTAAATTTGATAAATAGAAGTTCTCCAGTTTGTTTTTCAAAATTATTTGATTATTTTAGGTGTTTTGCATTTCCATATACATTTTAATATCTGCTTGTCAATTTCTGCCACAAAAAAAAAACCTGATGAAATTTTGATAGGGATTACATTGACCCTATTGATCAATATGGGGAGAATTGCCCTCTTAACACTAATTGATTTCAAATTCATGAACATGGAATGTGTCTCCATTTATTTAGATCTGCTTCTATTTCTCTCAGCAAAGTGTTGCACTTCTTTAGCTAAATTTATTCCTAAGTATCTTATTCTTTAATGCTATTATATATGGAATTTTATTCTTAATTTCACTTTTAGATTGTTCTTTGTTTATATATAGAAATACAATTGATTTTTGTATATTCTTAATCCTGCTAACTTGCTTTACTTATTTATTAGTTCTAATAGTTTTTTAGTCAATTAGGATTTTCAATATACAAGATCACGTCATCTGAAAATAGAGACAATTTTACTTCTTTTTCTCCTATCTGGATGCCTTTAATTTCTTTTTCTTGACTGATTGCTAAAACTTTGAGTACAACGTTGATTAGAAGCAGCAAAAGTGGGCATCCTTGCCTTGTTCCTGGTCTTAGGGGGAAAGCACTCAATTTTTTCATTATTAAGTATAATGTTCATTATAGGATTTTAGAAGATGTCATTTGTCCAGTTGAGGAAGTTCTCTTCTATTCCAAGTTTGTTAGGAGTTCTTGTCATGAATGGGTGTTGGTTTTTGTCAAATGCTTCTTCTGCATCTACTGAGATGATCATGTGGTTTTTGTCCTTCATTGTATTATGTAATGTATTTTACATTAATTGATTTTTAGATGTTAAGCCACTATTGCATTCCTGGGAAAAGTACCACTTGGTCCTTGTGTATCTGATATGAAAATACCCAATTATGTTAACTATCCTACTTCTGATAAACTTTAGGTCATTTTTTGACTATTATAAATAATACTGCAATGAACACTTTTGCAGATTCTTCTGGTGCACATATGCATGCAATGATAAATAGGAGTTGAATTGCTATTAGGACATAGAAGATGCATATTTTCAATTTTTATAGATAATGCCAAACTATACCACATAGTGATTTTAGGGAGTTACACTCCTAATAACAATACATGAGTTTTTCAATTGTTCTAGATCCTCCCAACACAATGTCAAGTCTGTCTATCCCATTTTCCCCTGTCTGGTGGTGTGGGTTGTACCATACAGTAGTTTTAATTTGTATTTCCTTGATTACTAATAGAGACATTTCCATATATGTATTGGTCACTTGCATCTTCTTTTTTGTAAGGTGGCTATTCAAGGCTGTGTCTCTATTTTCTACCGGGTAGTCTTTCATTTCTTTAATGATTTTAAAGCATTCTCTATCTAATCAGGATAAAGGCATATATTAAAGGTTGATAATATATTTTCCCATCCTGCAGCCTGGATTTTCACTCTCCTAACACTGACTTTTGATGAACAGACGCACTAAATTTTAATATGATCAAATTTATCAATCTTTTCTTTCATGATTAGTAATGTTTTATTCTTGCTTAAGAAATCCTTTCCTACTTCAAAAGTAAAAAAGATATTATCATCCAACAGCCATATTGTTGAGGTCTTTATTACACCAGGAAGAGATTCTTGTGCCTAATGTGAGATAGGGATCAAGACTGTTTTTCCATAGATAAACACTTGTGCCAGCACTATTAGTGGAAAAAATTATCCTTCTATCAGAGCTCTGAGATTCTAGTTCTTTTAGATATCAGGATGTATACATGTATGGGCCTGTTTCTGGGCTCTATCCTCCTCATCAAGCTATTTATCTATTATTGACACAGTGCCACACTATCTTAATAATTATGACTTCAAATGAAATCTTGTTGATCTGGAATCCCCCTACCATGGTCTTTTCCTACAATACTGACTTGGCTTATTTTGGGCCTTTGGATTTCCAAATGAATTTTAGAGTCAGTTTGCCAAGATACACACACCTCTTATAGAACTCTGATTGGGATTGCTCTGAATACATACATTATTTTAGGGAAGATTGGTGTTTTTACTAAAGTGAATTTCCCAATCCACAAACTCAGGATGTGGATTCAAAGATTTATTTAAATCTTCTTTAATATCTCACAGTTGTTGACTCAGTTTTTTTTTAGCACTGTTATCACAGAAATACCACAGCTGGGTGGCTTTAACAAACAGAAATTTATTTTCTCACAGTTAGGTGGCTAGAAGTCTGAATTTAGGACACAAGCTATCGGGGAAGGATTTCTCTCTCTGTTGGCTCCGGGGAAAAGTCTTTTTTTCAGCTTCTGTTCTTTGGTTTCTTGATGATCTTCATGTGGCATGGCATCTATGTCCCCCATCTGTGCATCCTTGCTTCTGTGCCTAAACTGCTCCTTTTATATCTCAAAAGTGCTTGGCTTAAAACACACCCTACGCTGATACGGTCTCATTATCATAACAAAGAAAACCCTATTCCCAAATAGGCTTACGTCTACAGGTTATAAGGATTAGGATTTACAACCTCCATATTTTTTACAAGCCTCATATTTTTGGGGGACACAATTCAATCCATAACAGTTCTTTTTTTTCTATAGTTTTTTCTTCTCTTTCTTTTTTTGCATATAAATCTTGCACATCCTATTTTAAAGGTTTATTCCTAGGTACCTGGTATTTTTTAGGTTAATGCAAAGAGTATCTATATTTGATATTCTTTTCTGCAAGTATAGAAATAAAACAAATTTTTGTAAAGTCACTTTATATCCATAAACCTTGCCAAATTTTTCATTAATTCTAGTAACTTATGTGAGTAATATTTTGGCTGTTCTCATCTAAACACTATTGACTATGCAAAGGTATTCGACTGCATGCATCATAACACATTACAGATAACATTGTGAAGAATTGGAATTCCAGTACACTTAATTGTGATCATGCAGAACCTGTACATAGACCAAGAGGCAGGAGGTACTCCATGGTTTAAAATCAAGAAAGGTGTGTGTCAGGGTTGCATCCTTTCACCATACTTATTCAGTCTGTATGTTGAGCAAATAATCCAAGAAGCTGGACTATATGAAGAAGAATGTGGCATCAGGATTGGTGGAAGACTCATTAATAACCTGCAATATGCAGATGACACAACCTTGCTTGCTGAAAGCGAAGAGGACTTGAAGCACTTTCTGATGAAAATCAAAGACTACAGCCTTCAGTATGGATTACATCTCAACATAAAGAAAATGAAATTCCTTATAACTGAACCAGTAAGCAACATCATGATAAATGGAGAAAAGATTGATGTTGTCAAGGGTTTCGTTTTACTTGGATCCACAATCAACTGCCTTGGAAGCAGCAGTTAAGAAATCAAACGACATATTGCTTTGGGCAAATCTGCTGCAAAAGACCTCTTTAAAGTGTTAAAAAGCAAAGAGGTCACTTTGAGAACTAAGGTGCGACCAACCCAAGCCATGATATTTTCAGTTGCCACATATGCATGCGAAAGCTGGACAACAAATAAGGAAGACCAAAGAAGAATTGATGCCTTTGAATTATGATGTTGCTGAAGAATATTGAATATACTATGGACTGCCAGAACAAAGAACAAGTCTGTCTTGGAAGAAATACAGCCAGAGTGCTCTTTCGAAGCAAGGATGGAGAAATTTCGTCTCACATACTTTGGGCATGTTATCAGGAGGGACAAGTCCCTGGAGAAGGACACGATGCTTGGTAAAATAAAAGGTCAGTCCAACACCCATTCCTGATAAAAGCTCTCAATCAAATAGGTATAGAAGGGAAATTTCTCAACATAATAAAGGGCATCTATGTAAAACCAACGGCCAACATCATTCTTAATGGAGAGAGGCTGAAAACATTCCCCTTGAAAACAGGAACAAGGCAAGGATGCCCTTTATCACCACTCCTATT